AAAGACGAATAAAAATTGATGAAATATCGACGGCACTAGCGTATCTTTCAAGTGTACACCCTTACGTAGATTAAAGATTATTGCAAGTGATAATAAAGTTAATTTAACTATTAACAAGTTAGAATGAGGAAACTCAGGGGCATTTATAATATTATTTCGGGTCACATACAAATCCATGATATTGTAATGTTACCGCCATTATGAGATTTTGTTTTTTTTAATGGACTTAGTCTTGACCGCTACCAAGCCCTGGAGCAAAGATAGGTCTAACGAGCTCACGCAGAAGATACATGGCAATCGGATGTATGGATATGCTTGGAAGCACAGAGTCAGGCATTATAAAACACATAGCCTGCCTGCATAAAGTATGACAAAAAGCGCTTAGTAAGCCTGAAAGGAATATCAACCAAGTAAGAATGATATCCCACCGAACGTCTGGATGTCCGATGGTACATGGACGCAGGTGGTGGTGGAGCTCATGGGCAAACTCACCGAAATACAATCTGTAAAAAAAACTTATAAACTGTACTACTGTGGGCTAAACTATGAACCTTATTTGCTATGAACATTATCGTCGTCGCAAATAAATACCCTAGCTACCGATCCAAGAGTTTGTTGTTGATAGCTCGCTGAGCCGTCCCATACGTGACTGCAATACTCCATGCAAGATCGGACTTGTCTTTGTACTAGGTTAAAAAGTTAAAAGCACATTGTTAAGGATTCCCAGCTTGAAACAATCTTGTTAGCTCCACACAGGGAGACAATACTTAAAGTCAAGTTCGTACCCTCTACCATGGCTTCTCTCAACGAACGGGTACCTTACTGTCTTTTGTTTTGGACAGATATATCTTCGTAACTGTGTGCTATCATCTGCATACCCAACAATATCTGGAACTTTTTTTATTATATCAAGTGACGGTATGAATAAGTCGTGCGCCTGATGGTAAGTTACACGCCTGTCCATAACATTTGCAGTGCCATGCAGAGCTTTAAACCACAAAGATCTGAGGGACACTGCCACTGCGCCCGTCACCCTTACCCTCCAAAACCGGAAAACAAAATACATGACGTTTTCCTATGACTCACTCTCCCAACCGACTTTAAAATCACATTCAATATTAGCGCATAACTGTTTTGGCTCTGTAGAAAGTACTTGTATATGTCCTAAACTTAGCAGCACAAACACAATTAAATATTTAGGCATCACAATAGATAGGTATTTGAACTTCAAGGCCCATATTGAAACTCTTACGGCTAGAGTACGAAAATTAATTTATATTTTCAAAAATTTAAGACATGTCGCCAGTGGAAAACTGCTGAATACTGTGGATTTGTCTCTTTGTCAGTCGTTGTTTGTGTACTGCTTAACGACTTGGGGAGGGACCCATAAAAACACCTTGCTAAATCTGCAAATTGCACAAAGAGCCATACTGAAAGACAGCACATTCCGACCTTTTCGTTTTCCCACTGCAGAACTCGTTACTAAATGTGATGTACTTTCAATACGCCAGTTGTTCATACTACTAACCGTAACAAAAAGCATTCACTAACGCCTTATATCACCTCACTCCAAACCTGCAAAAGACGAGCAGACATTGTTTGTACCACTTAACGGTTTCGAACTGCACACTCCCATAGGTAATTTTGCTTTCTTGGTAGCTTTTTGTACAATAAAATAAATCGTTCACTACGTATATATATATATCATAAGAATAAGTTTCAATGTAAGAAAACCATACAAACCTGGTTAAAAGGATTAAACCACAATAATACCGAAAATTTAGTATTTGTTGTTACGTAATATCAATAATAGTTAAGATGCTAACTAATATAATTAAGTATTCATGTTTTATTGTCATTTATTGTTATTGAACAAAATATGTTGAAAATATGTTGACTAACCATTATGCTATAAGCACTGATTTGGATACCTAAGATACAAGTAAGCAATTTTACTTAGTTTAGATACCACCTAGATTAACTTGCACTACTACCTTAATTAAAGTTATGTAAACATACAATATATCACTATATGCGATTGTCTGGCACATATAAAGGTTATTTAATAAGGTTCATGTATTTAAGTTAAATTTATATACAGAATAAATTTATCTTTATCTTTAATGGTGTGTGATAAGTATTTTAGCCTATCCAGGCACCGATACTAGGGACATGCGGGAAAATAAAGATATACGTCAACACCCCAACAAACACCCCAACACCCCAGGTCAAGGTACAACTCTTTACGTCGCACAAAATAAAGTTTCAACTGCTCATCTGCACAATATTCCGGCCAATCTGAACTTACATACATAAAAACTTTTTTTAGCACCTCATCATGTGTATATGCGTTTTGTACTTCATTTCGTGTGACAGGCAAAAAATTTTGAATAAAATTAACATACGTTTGCTCTGTGTCTCCGGACTTGGATTCCCTACTGGTAAACGTGATAACGCATCCGCTGCATTTTTATCTCCCCTTACAAATTCTATTTTACAATCGTACCCGGCCAATATCACCGCCTACCTCTGCAACCTGCTAGCGGCCATTACAGGAATACCTGTTTTATCACCGAAAATTGTCACTAGCGGTTTGTGATCGGTACGTAAACAAAATTTCCTACCATACAAATATTGGTGGAATTTTCTAACGCCAAAAATAATCGCCAGTGCCTTCCTTTCAATTTGTGAATATGATCGCTCCGCAGAGTTAAGAACCCTCGAAGCGTACGCCACCGGTCTCTCGCCAGCTGGTGTGACGTGCGAAATCACAGCACCGTCAGCTGTTAGCGTCAGTTGTTAGTACTAGTGGTAAATCTAGTGAATAATGCGCTAATATGTCACTCGAAACTAATAAACTCACAATTTTGGTTAAATTTGGGCATAGGCCTGAGATAAATCAATTTTAGAGAATTTTTTTCCGGCATCTAACCTAGCAAGTAAATCTTCTACTTTTGGCGCAGGGAAACGGTCCACCTCAAGACACTTATTTAAAGTAACTTTAAAGTCAGCACATACGCGAATGGTTCCGTCCTTCTTCATGATCGGTACTATCGGTGTAGCCCAGTCCGATGTAGTAACAGGGCTGATGATTCCGTCGCGCACCAGATCGTCCAGCGCGCGGCCCACCGGCTCGCGCAGTGCGTACGCCAGCGGCCGTGCGCGCATAAACACCGGCGCCGCGCACCCTCGCGTAATCTGAACCCCACTGTCCCGCCGGTAAACCTCCCGAGGCCATCCGCAAACACCTTACAATATCTGGAACTAAATTCCGTTAAATTAAAAACGGGTTGACTTTTCACTCGCATAACAAACCATAGAATTAATATTAATGTCTAGTTCTCTTAACCACTGTCTCCCGAGTAGGCTGGCCTTTCCCCTATCCACAATATAAAGATCTAAGTGCTTGCTCGTGTTCCCATAAGTTACAAGTGGTCTAATTTTACCTACAGGTTTCACTGTCTCGCCAGTGTAATAATGTAATGTTAAGTCACTGTTTCCCAGCGGACAATTTGTAAACAACTGATCATAACAGGTTTTGCTAATGCACGATATTGCACTACCTGTGTCGATCTCCATTAGTAAATTACACTCATTTATCTTAACATTTACCGTGTATGGTACAAACTGTTTTAAAGTTGAACATTTTAAAGAAAAATTATGTACCTCGTCGTTTCCCTCACTGGCATTTCCTTGGTACACCGCCTGCTCTTCAACTAAGTTGTAGAATGAGCTCTCATTATTTAGATTCGGGCACATTTTCTTAAAGTGACCTCTTTTATTACATACTCTGCATACATACGCTTGAAATTTGCAAGTATTCATCTGATGAGGGCCCCCACACGCACGACATTCGCTCTTCGATTTCTGGAAATTCTTACTACTACGATTCACACCATTTTTATTTCCGCTACCCGCTTCTCTTAGTTCACTTGGACTTCCGCTTACATATCGCCTCGAACTCGTGCACGTCGTATCCGCCAGCCGGCTGACCGGTTCTCGTCGCTGCGGCCGCACCGCGCGCCCCGCTGCGCCGGTGCCCCTCGCGCGCGCATACGTTAGCCTGTGTACCGCCGACGATGACGATGGCATAGGCGTGACGTCACACCGCCTGGAATACTCCTCCACTAGTGCCGCGTCTTTCTCAGCCGCTTCTATGCTCACTGCGATTTTAAATGCCTCATCGAAACTTACATTGTCCTCCGCGAATAGCCGCTGTGTGATATTTTCGTTTCTTAAACCACACACGAATTGGTCACGCAAATTTTCTTTTAACGTCTCGGCCGTAAATTGATAATCTTTCGATAGTTTTTTTAATTCTGTGACATATTCTACGACGCATTCGCCGTTTTTTTGAACCCGTTGTCTGAATTTGGAGCGTTCTGCAAGTAAACTAGGTTTCGGTTGCAACTGCTTGCTCATCAATTCCACCAACTCACTATATTTTTTTTGTAGATGGTTTTACGGGTATACACAAATTGTCCATAAGTTCGTAAGCCTCACTACATATAACTGTAATTGAGGTAGGCACCTTCATCGTATCCTTGACGTCTTTTACCAGAAAGTACTGTTCCAGACGATCAATGTACAAATTCCAATTGTCTTTCGTAACATCAAACGCTTCGATCTTTCCGAGCGACATTTCAACAAAAAAAGTATTTTTTTTTATTCACTATTTCACAACTAATCACTATTTAAACGCGAAGTTCTCACAAAATAAACACCTCGTCGCCACTGATAAGTATTTTAGTCTATCCAGGCACCGATATGCAGGAAAATAAAGATATACGTCCGTACTCAAGAACCGTTGTATTCGAAGAGCAAGTAATCTCGTTTCACAACGTCAAAGTAAAGTTGTATCCTACCCTCATACATTACAGTGTGAATCAAGAGTAACGGATATATAGAAAATAACTGATAAAATTAATTTCAAAGTACCTAATGGGGAATATGTTTCCCACATTGTTATCTAATGTTGAATGTTGTTTGTCTGGTCGCAGGGTCGTACATTCAGCAGCATCATAAAAAACTTCGTGAAAGAGTACAGCAATCTGCGCGACTTCGAGCGGGAGTATAAGACAAAGCGTGGATGGACCGCCTACGAACAGACACTGGCCAACATGAAGCGGCGCTTCCCGTACTACGTCAAGGAGATCCAGGGTATTGCTGATGGCTCTGGCGTATCTTTCCACCAGGTTCGCACTCCCACACAAAGTACTTATTTATACAAAGAGACTAATTTTCATGTTATACGATGGCCTCTATTTAAAACCTACTTACAATATAATATATACTTTAGCAACATTAAGATTATATGTTTAGTTTAAATACACAAAATCACCACCCTGTACACTCTACTACTTCATTTTCTAGAATAGTGAACAGATTATGCCTAGTTAACTATCGAGACAACAAAGCCAAGGTTCTTCTCATATTATTTTCTTTCAATAAAAAACGTAAAACTACACCAGGGGGCCTACCACAACCTCTTAAAACTATATTACTTTAACCTCACATTGACTTTTCGTACCATAACGCGCTTAAAGTAAGCTTATTGTAATGTTAAAACTATGATGTTTTTATGGCAGCTTTGTGACTATTTATTCACTCAGTTCGTACCATGACTCGACTTATTGCTCTTATGTCAAATTTAACAATCTTAAAATAGTTACACGGACGCAATGGAAACAATATTATTTTCAGTTTTATTGTCTAAATATTGATTTGTAATTATTAAAAGTGAAGTTGAACTTATTTATTTACGTGTATCTCTTCAATATTTTGTTTATTTAATAGCACATAGAAAATAAATTGTCGTTAAATAAAAATACGCGTCAAAGTCAAAGTCAAAGATTATTTATTCCATAGGTAAAATAAATTTACACTTGAAAACGTCACATTTAAGCTACAGCTTGTTCACTACACTGACCTCCCTGAGAAGAACGAGCAAGAAACTCCAAGGATTGCTCTTTTCAAATAAACTTAAATAAACTTAAATGCTATGGAATACACTTTGAATCAAATTTGTGTGGATTCTGGAGCCGTGTCGTCTTTCCATACATCTTTATCTAACACGTAGTCTTCAATTTTGTAATATGATTTTTCGATCGAAATATTTTATTACTCGATTTTTATTTCGTAAATTATGACAGCGCTATATGCTCCTTGGCGAAGCTAACAGTTGACACTAGACTTTAGTTCCGAATTCACAACGTGACTACCAAGATTCAGTTTGTTTTATTTATTTTTCTTCATGAAAATGCGGAAAAATAATAGAAA